TGGCCTCTTCCTGCGGGAGCTGGCGTTTCTGCCAGGAAGGAAGTGGGTTTGCAGCGTGTGTCACCAGCCCTAGAGAGGCACGCTGTGCTTTTGGAAAGGGACTGCTCTCCTGCTCGAGGAGTGGGCAGAGAGCAGGAGACAGTGGAGTGCTTTGGCTGTTAAAGCATTGGTGATTCTGAATGTTTTATTCTAGATTCTATTTTACCAACGTTTCCTTGATCAGGATAAACCTTCCCATAACTGGATGAGTTTTATCATTAAGTTCCCTAATCTAGGATCTGGGGTGTGAATCCTAAATGAAGTGGTAATGTTTTATCTTTGGGGGGAGGGGGTTAACATAGGAGAAAATGCAAATTGCATTATTTAGTTTTAAAATGAGAGTAATTTTATAAACTGTTATACTGCATTTTTAGGACATATGGAAGAAAAAGCCTTCCCAGGTGTAGCTGTGGTGTTCACAGCAGTATGCACCCAGATGTGGGCTTGCTCTTCCACCCCCGAGGTGGTGTAGACCAGCAGGGGGGGAGATGGTAGTTTTCCACCCAGAGGTTGTTTGAACATGTGTGACCCTCTTGCCCACGTATATCCTGAGCAGTGATGTATCTGTGACTTTTTTAGTTAAGAGTTGCTTTATTGGTTTTTAAAGGTGAGAGACTTGAACTTCCAGTGAAACCCAGTGCTGGAGATCTCTCTGGTGAGATGCGCAAACCTTGCCAGACTGCACTGAAAATGGAAAACCCCCAAGTCTCTTACTTATCCACAAAAGATCTGTGGTAGAAAGAGCGCAAACTTGCCTGGTTTTAAAATTTACCTTCCAGTGTGAATGTTGGTTTCCCCACTCCAGTATCTCAGTTTCCCCATTTCTTTCCTCTCCGTCCTGCACATCATTTACTGACGTTAACTCGTGCTCTTTCATTCTTTGGCTTTTGCTCCCTTTAACAATAAATGCATGTACGAATAATTTTGACAGTTCATTTACTTTTGATGAATCAGTCCTCAGACTGCTTTGAAGTCCTATGCCAAAGGAGGAATGAAACTCGGAGCAGCTGCTGGTGCCCTGGAACACGGCGGCCCCAGCCGGGCCGCCCAGGCAGGCTCCAGCCTCGGCCACCTGGCATAGATCTGTCCGGCTGTGAGCTGCATGTCCCTTCTCAGGGACCCTGCTCCTTAGTGCCAGGGTCGTTGCTCTGTGTCTCTGACAAGCTCTTCATGGTAAGTCACTCCAAAGTATTTAGTGCCCGCCACGTGCTCTGCGCCATTCGTAGTTTTACAGGTTTGGTAGCAGCACCCTTGAGCCTCCGCTGCCTGAGGCTTTGCGGCCTCCCTCCATCTCCTCTCTCTGATGTGCTTCACTGACCTCCCCATGCAAATTATGTCACGTTTAAACTATTTGCCTTCCAGCCCGGAGGTGCTGGATTGAGCCTCTCACTGGGTCTCTACACCAGCAGCTCTGTTTCAGCAGGGAATATAGCCAAGCTCAGACCTCGCCAAAGGAGAAGTTTTTTAATAACTGCTGTAAGCCCCCTTTTTATTACAAATATAGCTGACAGTATAAATGCTTGTGTGTAAAGCAAATCCATCAGGGTTGGTTCGGATACAGAACACAGCTGTATAGTGCTTTATGATTTTCAGGGATTCAGGGAATTTAGGGTTGTCAAATTTGACTTCCTGTCTACCACAGGGAATTACATTTCATTCAGAAGCCCCACACTCAGCCTGCTGGTCTCAGTTGAACTGAAATGTCTGACAGAAAGTCAAGCCACAGGTGTCAGCAGTCTGCTGTCTTCCTTGTTATCTACTTAGTGATTAGTCACCTTCACTATTTCAAAAAAAGATGAAAAAAAATCCGATCAACTTCTAGGCTGTGATTCTTTTTCACAACATCCTATACAGGCTGAGCAGAGTTTATCACAATGAAATCATATCTGGGTTTTTTTAACTTGGTTTGACTGTGGATAGAGCCAAAGCCTGGCTCTGTTTCTGCTGCAACAGGGGAAAATTTCTAAATCATGTATTCTGATATTCTGATTACTCTTCTTTGGGACCATGGTGCCTTTTTAATCAGGACAGTAAATCTTGTCCTAGGATTCTGTACTTTTGTACGTTAACAGTTGTTGACTTTCCTTTTTGGTGTGTCCCAAATAAATTAATATAACATACATCTGGGCTTTTGTTTCTTCTTTCTAAAGGGGGAGGAAAGAGGAAACTGAAGCTAAAGTAAATCTCTGCTTCAGCTCTCCTTCCCAGGCCCTTGCAGGAGCAGCTGGGATGCATGCAGGTGGAGCTGCTCCCCTCCAGACCATGTGGGGCGGTGGTAGGGCAGCTGCAAGAAATTTGGATCTGGCACAGGGGCCCTTTTATTCAAAGATGCTGGAGCCTGGAGCAGCTGAAGGTAAGGGGAGAAGAATAAAATCTCTGCACATCGTGGCAGTGTTTCATGGGGACTCTCAGTGTGCCTCAGGTGTGGTGGGATTGGTGTCAGAGACAAAGGTAGGGACTCCCTGCCTTCCTGGTGTGATCCCATGCATGACTGTTCCACTGCTCCCTGTTCTCTCCTGACTGTGGTTCAGGAATGTTGTTTGAGATGAGTGAGGGGCAGTTGTGTCCAAGGGAGACATGGCAATGGTTTGCACCACAGGACTTCAACAAGGAAGGGAAATTGGAAAGGAGGAAATGCTGGAAGGGGGTGTGTTTGCATCAACGGCTTTTGCAGGAGGGAATTGAGGTGCATCCCAGGAGCTACAAATACTTTTGCTGGATGCTGAGTCACTGATTTTACTGGGGATTTGGGGAGGAACATTGTCAACCTTCGGCCCTTGAGTCCTGGTTTCTGCAGAGAAAGCAGTAGAAAGGAGAGAGCATCCTGAAAGCCCTGTGCTCCAGCCAGGGACCCTGGCAGCCAAGCAGGGCACGTGCCAGCCTCAGGCAAAAGCTGCCCTTTTGCAGCCCTTACAAGTTCCTTAGAGCTTCCCAGGCTGGCCTTGAGTGAAGCTGTACAGAAACCACCTGATTTCCCAGCATGGATGTGCCTCTTCATGTGGCCACTGCTCTGCCTCCCACCCCTCTCAGAAAGGGGAAGGAACACAAAAAAACCAACCCAAAATGCAAATCATGGCACTACTGAGTGGGCTGGATGTGGAAAACAATGTCTGTGACTCAGCACAGAAAGAGTCACATAGTTGGAATTTAAAACAAGTCCAAGCCCAGCACTGTGGGCATATGGCTCATGGAGTGCTGGGCAGTGCCTCCCCACGAGGGAGCTGGGTGGGCATGGGGAAGTGCCAGAGCCTTGTCTTAGATCAACTGTGCCAGACAGGTTAACACAGGGTGATAAACTGGGGAAAACTGTGCTCCTGGGAACAGTGGAGCAGACCTGTGAAGCTGTGTCACAACTGTGCTTGTGCTCAGTGCCTGTGGCCGGGCTTGGGCAGAGCTCCAGGAAGGGAGATGAACCTCCTGTGTCACCTGACACCCACGTTTTTCCCCTGGGGGGATGCATGACACAGATGGTGGCAGAGCTGGGCACAGAAACTCCCCCTGAATGCTGACAGGAGCTGCAGAGTGAGCCTTTCCATAGGCGACCACATTAATTTATTAACCAGATTTATTAACACATGCAAGGGTATTTCCTGCTCCAAGGGTGTTGTCTTGTTATTCTTCCCGAGTTTCTTGACAGCAGATGCTTCCTCCTGGCACAGCTTTGGAGCCAGCAGATACTGCTCCAGTTTTTTAAGACACAGCAATGAAAGTTCCTCCCTGTATTCCCTTGTGCTGCCCAGCAGCGTCCCCTCTTGCACCGTGCCCTCTTGCACCGTGCTCTGGTCCTGCTCAGGTTGGAGTTTGCCCCGTGGCCTGGTGACAGATGTGCACAGCCACAGCACCCTTGGCAGAGCCTTCGGGGCAGCCCAGACACACCTCCAAGAGGGAGGGAGGCTAGAAATTGATTCTGGGGAAATCCAAACGTCTGGGACTTGGGGCAGGAGCTGTTGAGCTTTCTCCTTCCCAGCTACCTGGTACAGAGCAGCCATGCCCCCAGACTTTTCTATGCCAGATGCTTTCAAGGAGTCAGCTTTCCCCTGGCTCCACACTTTTTTCAGCTCTGTATGCTCAGTTTTGGAAGTGGGCACTGACAGAGCTGTGGGCTGCACCTGCCCAGGTGTTCCCTGGGAGTACTCGTGGCACTGCCATGGCTCTGGCAAAACATTTGCTTGTTCAGCATCCTCAGTTGTACCCCTACACACCTTTTGTGGAGTTGCTTTGTGTGTCAGGGCTTCCTACTGCCCCACAGAAGCTGCCTGCAACCTCAGGAGATCAGTTTGCTTAATTGGCCCAGTCTCCAGAAGCATTTTATATCCTTTTTCAGGCCAATGTGCACCAAAATCACTCACATCTTGTCTCCTCTGTCTCTGGAATCCTCTGTCTCTGTGAGCACCCAGACAGTTCCTCCTGTGTTTCTATCTTGAGACATACCACATTGTCCATGAGAGATGCTGGGAAGGGAAGTGGAGAATGTGGGGGGAGGACACACTCAAAGGCACCCACACCCTAACTCTCCTTTGTTGCTGTCACATCCCCAGCTGTTGGGCCCTTACTTCCCACATGCTCCTGCAGCCGAGTTTCTGAATGAGAGAAGCAGGTCCTGTGGAAAGTCCAGAAATTTTGGGAGCTGCCTGGGTGGCAACAGATATGAGAGAGGTGGGAGCCCCTCGCCAGGACCTCACTGAGCCCCTCTCTCTCGTCACTCCAGGATGGTCTCCGCGGGTTAGGTGTCCTTGACCAGCAGCGCAGCCGCCCGGAGCTGGGGTGGTGCCTGACCTTAAGCCCGGGGCTGGGGGGCTGGGACAAGCCCAGTGCCGCGCGCGGGAGGGCCGGGTTCAGGTTACGGCCTCGTACAGAAATGAGTGGGGCTGCGAGAGTCCAATGAGGTTTCTGGTGCCGCGGCAGAGGTGTATTAAAGGGGAGTGTACGGGCGGCTGCGGGCTTCGGCAGTGTCCCCGGGCATGGCGGGGCCGGGCAGCGACGGGGACCTGCGGCACCTGCTGAAGCTGCACCGCACCGAGATCGCCATGGCAGTGGACGACGTCTTCCCACTGCTGCATGGCCTGGCTGACCACGATGTCGTTCCTGACCACATCTTCAAGGTGAGGGTGCGGAGCAGGACAGGACGGTCATGCCGTGGGGGCTGGGGCCGGAGGAGGGCCGGAGGGCAGCCCGTAGGCCGTGGTGTGCCTGGCAGGAGACGCTGAGCCGGACGGAGCGGGAGGGCTCCCACCGCGCTTTCCACGCCCTGCTCACCTGGCTGCTGGGCCGCGACGCTGCCGCAGTCCGCGACTTCTGGGCCGTCCTCTTCAAGGAATACAACCTGGAGCGGTACTCCAGGCTCCGGCCTCTCCGCGGCTCCTTCCCCAGAGGTAGTAGGGGCTCAGGCGGAACTGGCACCCCGGCGGGCTGACAGTGGGCAGGGGTGACAGCCAGGGTGCCGGTGCCTGTCCTCGTCTCTGTTCTTGCAGAGGTGGAGCTGGGGCGGCAGCGCCGTGGAAGGCGTTTCTCCCCGAGCCCCACAGCACCGGCCCCACACAGACCCCAAGGCAAGAGGAAAGCCCCTGAGGAGCGGGACAAGGCCCGGGCAGCACAGTCCGCTCCACGGCACAGCGCCAGTCCTGGTATGGAGACCCAGAGCAGGATGGAGACGGGCCAGGGTGCTGCCCCCGAGGTATTGTGAGGTACTGTGCCCCCTGACGCCCATCCTCACAATGCTGCAGGGCCCCTGGTGAAGGCAAAGACTGTGAAGAAGCCGGAGGGCACAGATACCCCCCGCACTTCTCGTGCCAGCGGTGAGTGCCAAAACCCCCAGGGCAGCTTCTGCCTGTCCACCCACAGCCCTGGGCAGGGGCTGCACACCCCACTAAGTTGCTCCCCTGCCTGCAGCTCTCCAGGCAGTGGCTGCTTCGGTGCAGAGGGCAGTGGCTGTGGCAGGTGGTGAGGTGCCAGTCAGCCGTGGGGCCATCGAGGGCATCCTCATTAAACATGTGCTGGATCCATGTAAGTACAGCCCAGCCACCTCCTGCCCAGTTTAGTCCCCAAATTCAGGAGCCACCCTCAGGCAGGGCAAGGTGGGGAAAGGAAGCTGGAGCTGCCTCTGGCCTCTCTTGCAGGCAGCTCCAAGACAGTCAGCAGAGCTGGGGATGAGCCATATAACCCGGCTGCCTGCGAGGAGTCAAAGGCCAGGAGCAGAAGCCACAGCCTGAAGCCCCCTGCCCAGCCCAAGGCATGCCAAAGTGTACAGACACCCCCCTCATATGTTTTGACCCCCATCTTGTGCAGCTGCCAAGGCTGTGGCAGGGGGTTGTTTCTGCATGGTATCATAGCCATGGCCTGGGAGTGTCCCCCAGTGAAAGCAGTGCCTCTCCAAGCCCCTTCTTGTGTTGCCAACAGAACAGGGAACCCCAACTGCACCCCCAGGGCCAGCTGCCAGCAGCCACTGTGTTCAGCCAGGACCCTGTGCCGCAGCAGGTGAGCCCTGGATATGACACCTGGTGCACCCCCAAGAGGAACTGTTGGGGTTTCCCTGGCATATCTGTTTGCCCTGGCCTTGAAAAGGAAACCCAAGGCTCAGCTACTGGGGGTTCACCAGGTTACGACTCCCAAGAGACAGGCAATCTTACCACCCTGAAAGGATTGGTATGTTTGGTGAAGGGTGGGTGATACAGGGGGAGAGGGCAAGGGGATTACAGACCTTGCCACAGCCACAGCTTCAGTCTGTGAGGGTGGCAGTGATGCCCTGCCCACTCCCCTGAGGACAGGAGAATGAGGATGAGTGTGCAGCATGCGGTGATGGTGGTGAGCTCATCTGCTGTGACGGCTGCCCCAGGGCCTTTCACCTTGCCTGCCTGGTGCCCCCACTGCCCCATGTCCCCAGGTGAGTCCCAGGGCACACGGGCCTGCTAGTGCCCCCTGCCATCCCTCACTGCACTGCTCCCACTGTGCAGCGGGACATGGCGATGTGGCTCCTGTGTGGAGAACGTGACTGAACCAGGCCAGCTGCTGGAGGCAGACTTGCCTGTGGAGAGACCCCCCGAGATCCTGGGAGAAGCGACACGGGACACCCAGCTGGGTGGAGTTGAGGGAAGCATCTGCAGCCGCTGCTGCACCCAGATCCCCACTGGCCGACACTGTCCTGCTCCCAGTGGGGACCCCAGGTGAATCCCCCATCACTCCCCACATCCCAGCCTTTGTTCCTCCTTGGAGTGGTCTGCCCTGACGGTCTGTGTCACCCCTGATGGTGTAGGGGGCTGCTGCTGTGCACATCCTGCATGGGCACCCTGGACACAGGTGGCGTGGGCACCACCTCAGCAGCTGGAGACCAACTGCTTCCAGCAGCCAAGGTCAGCACAAGTTGCCAGGAATGGGGTGGGAGAGGAAGAGCAGGGCCTATGGGGAGCAGGAAGGTGGAGATGGGTCAGGTAGGGTGAGGGACGGGCTGACACCACATGGAGGCAAGTTAGTGAAGCTGTATTGGGGGAGCATGAGCTGGGCCCACACCAGGTGATAGCCTGAACAAGCCTGACCAAAGGAGGGCAGGCTGAGGGCAGCAAGGGAGCTGGAAGGACATCTCTCCATGCACAGGCAGAGGACAGAGCCCTCGGCAGTGACACTGTGCTGAGCCGGGATGAGCTCGATGCGCTGCTAGGTGAGGTAAGACTCTGTGTGACACCAACAGGCAGATTCTGTGCAAAGCGGACCACATCTCTGGTGTGGCCCACAGGGTGACATGGGACTGTGGGTCAGGCACCGTGTGCTGGGAAACCCCACAGGGGAAGGATGTGGTATGGGAATAGAAAATGAACACTGGGGCTGTCCCACAGAGCACGTGGGATGGGATCTTGCAGTGGGCGTTCCAGACCATGGCACGGCCGCTCACAGAAACACAGGGACTCCTTGCCTAGTGCACAGATGAAGCAGCGGACTCCACATCCCAAGCTATGAAAAAGCCTCTGAGAGAGATGCAAAACAAAATGCACACAGGCATCACAGCTGCCCAAAAGACAGAAAGAAACACAAGAGAACATAACAAAAATACTGAGACAAAGGAAAATAGCAGGTCACAGCTAGTGACACTCAACAGAGAATATGCACAATGAAAAAGTGAATAAATAGCATCACAGAGAAAATGCAAAAGGTGATTGAAAAAAATATAATAACAATACCACAAGAAGAAAATCGTTATTATTAAACAAATGATAAAAAGATAAAGTTACAAATTTAAACTATTCCAAAAATGAAAAGGGAAGTGGACATGGAAATCTCAAAAATGCCAACACAAAGATGCAAAAGATGCAAAAGATGCCTACAGCACCCGGTATTCCCAGGCGGTCTCCCATCCAAGTACTAACCGGGCCCGACCCTGCTTAGCTTCCGAGATCAGACGGGATCGGGCGTTCTCAGGGTGGTATGGCCGTAGGCACTCCGCTCCCCCTCTGCAGCGCTCTCGAGCTCACACCTCCACCTTCCCACGCTGACCTGCACCGAACAGCCCAAAAGATACACAAGGCACAAAAAGCATACAAGCGACACGTGCCAGCACCCTCCTGCCCCTCGCCACGGCTGCCCAAGCAAAACAAGGGACCCCACGCAGCAAAAGATGCCTACAGCACCCGGTATTCCCAGGCGGTCTCCCATCCAAGTACTAACCGGGCCCGACCCTGCTTAGCTTCCGAGATCAGACGGGATCGGGCGTTCTCAGGGTGGTATGGCCGTAGGCACTCCGCTCCCCCTCTGCAGCGCTCTCGAGCTCACACCTCCACCTTCCCACGCTGACCTGCACCGAACAGCCCAAAAGATACACAAGGCACAAAAAGCATACAAGCGACACGTGCCAGCACCCTCCTGCCCCTCGCCACGGCTGCCCAAGCAAAACAAGGGACCCCACGCAGCAAAAGATGCCTACAGCACCCGGTATTCCCAGGCGGTCTCCCATCCAAGTACTAACCGGGCCCGACCCTGCTTAGCTTCCGAGATCAGACGGGATCGGGCGTTCTCAGGGTGGTATGGCCGTAGGCACTCCGCTCCCCCTCTGCAGCGCTCTCGAGCTCACACCTCCACCTTCCCACGCTGACCTGCACCGAACAGCCCAAAAGATACACAAGGCACAAAAAGCATACAAGCGACACGTGCCAGCACCCTCCTGCCCCTCGCCACGGCTGCCCAAGCAAAACAAGGGACCCCACGCAGCAAAAGATGCCTACAGCACCCGGTATTCCCAGGCGGTCTCCCATCCAAGTACTAACCGGGCCCGACCCTGCTTAGCTTCCGAGATCAGACGGGATCGGGCGTTCTCAGGGTGGTATGGCCGTAGGCACTCCGCTCCCCCTCTGCAGCGCTCTCGAGCTCACACCTCCACCTTCCCACGCTGACCTGCACCGAACAGCCCAAAAGATACACAAGGCACAAAAAGCATACAAGCGACACGTGCCAGCACCCTCCTGCCCCTCGCCACGGCTGCCCAAGCAAAACAAGGGACCCCACGCAGCAAAAGATGCCTACAGCACCCGGTATTCCCAGGCGGTCTCCCATCCAAGTACTAACCGGGCCCGACCCTGCTTAGCTTCCGAGATCAGACGGGATCGGGCGTTCTCAGGGTGGTATGGCCGTAGGCACTCCGCTCCCCCTCTGCAGCGCTCTCGAGCTCACACCTCCACCTTCCCACGCTGACCTGCACCGAACAGCCCAAAAGATACACAAGGCACAAAAAGCATACAAGCGACACGTGCCAGCACCCTCCTGCCCCTCGCCACGGCTGCCCAAGCAAAACAAGGGACCCCACGCAGCAAAAGATGCCTACAGCACCCGGTATTCCCAGGCGGTCTCCCATCCAAGTACTAACCGGGCCCGACCCTGCTTAGCTTCCGAGATCAGACGGGATCGGGCGTTCTCAGGGTGGTATGGCCGTAGGCACTCCGCTCCCCCTCTGCAGCGCTCTCGAGCTCACACCTCCACCTTCCCACGCTGACCTGCACCGAACAGCCCAAAAGATACACAAGGCACAAAAAGCATACAAGCGACACGTGCCAGCACCCTCCTGCCCCTCGCCACGGCTGCCCAAGCAAAACAAGGGACCCCACGCAGCAAAAGATGCCTACAGCACCCGGTATTCCCAGGCGGTCTCCCATCCAAGTACTAACCGGGCCCGACCCTGCTTAGCTTCCGAGATCAGACGGGATCGGGCGTTCTCAGGGTGGTATGGCCGTAGGCACTCCGCTCCCCCTCTGCAGCGCTCTCGAGCTCACACCTCCACCTTCCCACGCTGACCTGCACCGAACAGCCCAAAAGATACACAAGGCACAAAAAGCATACAAGCGACACGTGCCAGCACCCTCCTGCCCCTCGCCACGGCTGCCCAAGCAAAACAAGGGACCCCACGCAGCAAAAGATGCCTACAGCACCCGGTATTCCCAGGCGGTCTCCCATCCAAGTACTAACCGGGCCCGACCCTGCTTAGCTTCCGAGATCAGACGGGATCGGGCGTTCTCAGGGTGGTATGGCCGTAGGCACTCCGCTCCCCCTCTGCAGCGCTCTCGAGCTCACACCTCCACCTTCCCACGCTGACCTGCACCGAACAGCCCAAAAGATACACAAGGCACAAAAAGCATACAAGCGACACGTGCCAGCACCCTCCTGCCCCTCGCCACGGCTGCCCAAGCAAAACAAGGGACCCCACGCAGCAAAAGATGCCTACAGCACCCGGTATTCCCAGGCGGTCTCCCATCCAAGTACTAACCGGGCCCGACCCTGCTTAGCTTCCGAGATCAGACGGGATCGGGCGTTCTCAGGGTGGTATGGCCGTAGGCACTCCGCTCCCCCTCTGCAGCGCTCTCGAGCTCACACCTCCACCTTCCCACGCTGACCTGCACCGAACAGCCCAAAAGATACACAAGGCACAAAAAGCATACAAGCGACACGTGCCAGCACCCTCCTGCCCCTCGCCACGGCTGCCCAAGCAAAACAAGGGACCCCACGCAGCAAAAGATGCCTACAGCACCCGGTATTCCCAGGCGGTCTCCCATCCAAGTACTAACCGGGCCCGACCCTGCTTAGCTTCCGAGATCAGACGGGATCGGGCGTTCTCAGGGTGGTATGGCCGTAGGCACTCCGCTCCCCCTCTGCAGCGCTCTCGAGCTCACACCTCCACCTTCCCACGCTGACCTGCACCGAACAGCCCAAAAGATACACAAGGCACAAAAAGCATACAAGCGACACGTGCCAGCACCCTCCTGCCCCTCGCCACGGCTGCCCAAGCAAAACAAGGGACCCCACGCAGCAAAAGATGCCTACAGCACCCGGTATTCCCAGGCGGTCTCCCATCCAAGTACTAACCGGGCCCGACCCTGCTTAGCTTCCGAGATCAGACGGGATCGGGCGTTCTCAGGGTGGTATGGCCGTAGGCACTCCGCTCCCCCTCTGCAGCGCTCTCGAGCTCACACCTCCACCTTCCCACGCTGACCTGCACCGAACAGCCCAAAAGATACACAAGGCACAAAAAGCATACAAGCGACACGTGCCAGCACCCTCCTGCCCCTCGCCACGGCTGCCCAAGCAAAACAAGGGACCCCACGCAGCAAAAGATGCCTACAGCACCCGGTATTCCCAGGCGGTCTCCCATCCAAGTACTAACCGGGCCCGACCCTGCTTAGCTTCCGAGATCAGACGGGATCGGGCGTTCTCAGGGTGGTATGGCCGTAGGCACTCCGCTCCCCCTCTGCAGCGCTCTCGAGCTCACACCTCCACCTTCCCACGCTGACCTGCACCGAACAGCCCAAAAGATACACAAGGCACAAAAAGCATACAAGCGACACGTGCCAGCACCCTCCTGCCCCTCGCCACGGCTGCCCAAGCAAAACAAGGGACCCCACGCAGCAAAAGATGCCTACAGCACCCGGTATTCCCAGGCGGTCTCCCATCCAAGTACTAACCGGGCCCGACCCTGCTTAGCTTCCGAGATCAGACGGGATCGGGCGTTCTCAGGGTGGTATGGCCGTAGGCACTCCGCTCCCCCTCTGCAGCGCTCTCGAGCTCACACCTCCACCTTCCCACGCTGACCTGCACCGAACAGCCCAAAAGATACACAAGGCACAAAAAGCATACAAGCGACACGTGCCAGCACCCTCCTGCCCCTCGCCACGGCTGCCCAAGCAAAACAAGGGACCCCACGCAGCAAAAGATGCCTACAGCACCCGGTATTCCCAGGCGGTCTCCCATCCAAGTACTAACCGGGCCCGACCCTGCTTAGCTTCCGAGATCAGACGGGATCGGGCGTTCTCAGGGTGGTATGGCCGTAGGCACTCCGCTCCCCCTCTGCAGCGCTCTCGAGCTCACACCTCCACCTTCCCACGCTGACCTGCACCGAACAGCCCAAAAGATACACAAGGCACAAAAAGCATACAAGCGACACGTGCCAGCACCCTCCTGCCCCTCGCCACGGCTGCCCAAGCAAAACAAGGGACCCCACGCAGCAAAAGATGCCTACAGCACCCGGTATTCCCAGGCGGTCTCCCATCCAAGTACTAACCGGGCCCGACCCTGCTTAGCTTCCGAGATCAGACGGGATCGGGCGTTCTCAGGGTGGTATGGCCGTAGGCACTCCGCTCCCCCTCTGCAGCGCTCTCGAGCTCACACCTCCACCTTCCCACGCTGACCTGCACCGAACAGCCCAAAAGATACACAAGGCACAAAAAGCATACAAGCGACACGTGCCAGCACCCTCCTGCCCCTCGCCACGGCTGCCCAAGCAAAACAAGGGACCCCACGCAGCAAAAGATGCCTACAGCACCCGGTATTCCCAGGCGGTCTCCCATCCAAGTACTAACCGGGCCCGACCCTGCTTAGCTTCCGAGATCAGACGGGATCGGGCGTTCTCAGGGTGGTATGGCCGTAGGCACTCCGCTCCCCC